CAAGCATGTTGGCTCAACAAAAGACGTGCGACCGTACAGTAGAAACGGTCACACGTCTTAGTTCACACTGCTCGATTCTCGTACGATCGCGGGATTTCGCCCGATTCTCGTGCGAGAATCGAGCAGTGTATGGGCACCTTTAGAGTATGTAAAACCCACTTGAAGCAGGTTAGATGCAGTCAGCACTTGATCACCTGCAGGTGATCTAATTGATCTCTAATTGATCAATTGATCTAATTGATCTAATTGATCTCAAAATAGTCTCAAACTGATGCCATTCACACCAAAAGCCCATTGACAAAGGCACTTAATGAGCTGAAATGTTGTACCAGCAGGACTAAAACACCAAGTGGTGCCTTGATTTTGCCCTTTACTTGAGTGGACATCTAAAGCAATTCCAGTTTCCAACAAAACTGACAATAGCTAACTTTCAAAAAGAATATCTGTTGGCTTCTTGTGCCAGAAATTAATGCCACCATGCTGGATTACAGATGCAGTATGGGTAAGAGGACAGCATTCTCAGCCCTGCTTTAAAAAATATTATGCAGCTTTGAATTTAGACTTCAAGTAAAGGAATTATCTTTTAATCACAATTATATTGTCTTTTCTTGCATTTTTAAAAATACAAATTTAAAAAAGTGAAACGTTTTAATATACACACTGTAGCAGAGTGTCGCAGAGGGAGCCTGGGAAAGTCCTGTTTGGAGTTTATAGGTCTCCTAGGTTCCTCTCCTATACATTTAGGGATTGCTGATCCAGCCTCCAGTGCAGGGTCTACTCCTCTCCACTGGCAATTTAATTGCACCTGGAACCTGTAGTCAGAGCTCTATCAGTCCTGTCTGAGAAAGCTGCAAGCTTTGTAGCAAAACTAGCAAATGGTGTATGTGGAGGCTGACAAGCAGTAGGCCTGCTCAGCCTGTTAGTTAGGACTTATACTATTGTTTGTGAAGTTAGTGCCGGTATACAGCTAGGTTTTACTTTTGTTAGTTTTCTTGGGACTACTGTACAGGACCTGTGAATACTCGTAAATATCACCATTAAACACTGCATTGTTTGCCCTTGGATTTGGTATCTGTGCCCAAGTGACTGCTTATTCCCAGGGGGCTTATGTACCGGCTACCGATCGCCTGCTCACAACACATATATAAAATGAATCAAGTGCACATTGGGAAGCAATCCCATTTGATACAATTATGGCATACAACTGTAACACAATTCTTGGCAAGGACATGTTAATACATGAGGCCCTTTAAGTGTAAAGTGACTCTTTCACTGGGGTTCTAACTTGTGACAAAGGAAGACCTGCAAAAGTAGATGCTTTATATTCACCTATCCCAGTTTCAGCCACCAGAAGAATCTTCAATCACATCTGACACTTATGTGAGTGTTGAATGTCTATGTACACCGCTTTGAGCTGTGGTTCCTTCTACTGACTTCTTTGTCCCTACTGTGTCCTGTAGTGAGGTAGGGACCAGCGGAAGGAACCACAGAGCCCAGTGGGGACCAGGCATTTAATAAACACAGAATTGTGTCGGATGTGAAGAGACTGGTGCTCTGTAAGAGGGTGAAGATAGGAGGAACAAGCGGAGGGACAGGATAATATAAAGCCTCTTATCTGAAGGTCCTTTTTTGTTGTAGACATTTCAGCTAAACATAGAGTCACTTTAACAATACTCATTTTTACAGATAAAACTTTGTGCAACATAACCAACCACCAATTTAATTAAAAGTTTCTAAAAGATTCAGTTCTAATGTTAAAAAAAAAATAGTGTCATGCTGTAAAATGAAGACGATCACTAATGTAGATTGAAGGTATGGGTGCTGGAACACCTAAGACACCAGTGCCAGCCAAGTCTTACAGGGTTATTCACAAAAGGGTGAAGAGTTTGGAGAAGGCAGGAGAAGGGAACAATATGGGATGACATAGCTGATTTGGAAAAAATGTCCAATTCAGCTCAGTTTCCAGTTCAGCTATGCTGTCCTAGATTGTTCACTTCTCTAAACTCTTCACCCTTTTGTGAAAAACCCTGTCAGTGTAAGCAAAGTACCAAAGCTGCAAAAAGAAACCACATAGTATAGAGAATGCAAGAGATGCAGACAACCACTACAAATGTCAATAACTGCAAACAACATGGAAAAAATGCACAAACAAAAGCAGTTCCCAGCTTATGTGGCAGCATGCCATCATTGTGAAGGTTGGAATCATTTTATGGTGTTGAAAGACCACAATTAGTATTAGCAAAACCAATAAAGCAAAGTCAAGGGATAAACATTGTCGATTACTGTGTTTTAAAAGCAGCACACTTACACATGGATCCAGCATCTGGATGTTACTTGATATGCAAATTTTAATACTAGGGAGACTAGTTAAAATCCAGCCTGGAGCAGAAGTTAATGTGATTGCATTTGCAACAGTTAAATCACAGCTTTCTATTATAAAACTGAACCTATTACTATCCAGAGTGTTAATGCCATTGTGTAGCACTAGGCTATTTCTTAAAGTAAACCTGTCACAAACCTAGGCAATTCAAACAATGAAAACATTCATAAGCAGAGGTTATCCTCAGTTTACAAAAATGCACATCAAAATAATCCAAACATTCAGAAATAAAGGTTAATTGTGGACTTTAATTCAAAATTGCCGTAACATCTCAAAGTACAAGATGCAACCACTTACATCATCATTGCCAAGCTCAAGTTTTACAGTTGAAAGGGTATATAGCTCTAACATGTTCCTTCTTCCTGTTCATTAATGAACACAATCAAAGCTTAGTATAACGGAATCTCAGAGATTTATCAGGGAATATAGAGCACAGGATTATGGGAGAGTCCCACACGCCAGTTCTCACACTCCCATGCTTAAAGCCCAATTGAACTTTGCAGTTTAGATGAGGTAAATACATTTCAAGTGCATTACAACAAAGGGTGTGCAAAGTCTTACAGTTTGTTTGCCTTAGAAATCAACCACATCTTCAGTAGAACAAACTATGCCTGACAGCATACTACATAATGGGACATTGATCTCTGTGGGGAAGTAGTGAACTCTTTGCAGAGGTCTGATGTGTTCCCCGCTTAGTCAGAGCCAGAGTTCTCCAATCAGCAGGGAGCAGGGGCTAGGCCGATTGCAAGAGCTACAGGTCTGACTTAGTATGGAGTGTGTCAGTAGGGAGTGTGTCAGACCTCTGAAATGAGACCACTGCTTCCACAAGGCGAGCAAGTGTCCCACTCTGCAGCATGCTGGGAGGGGACAGGCTCTTCCATTCAGGCTGTGGCTGCTTTAAAAAGAAAATAAACTATAAGAACCCCCTTTGCTTTGATGAATCTGGCATGCATTTAGTGGAATTAAACTAAAGGTTCAATCGGGCTTAAATTTTTTTCATTTAGACATATTGGCCCCATTTCATCATCCCTTACAGAATGCTAAAATTATGCTGGACGAATCAGGGCCATTGTTGTAACAGTGTTTATCTGTAAAGTAGCCACTGCTCCAAGCTCGCTCCCATGATAGACTATAATCTGGATACAAATGAGTACATAAGGAAAGGTGAAGTTGTAGTCCATCACGAGAACGAGCTTGGAGCGGCGGCTACCTTACAACACACACAAGCACCATGGAGAACAAAAGTAGCCACCCTCCAGAAAGAAGGACAGTGTCAGCACCAATTCAGAGATGATTTGTGGATCTACAGCCAAGTAATACAAAAAAAGCTACATCTGTAAAAAATAAGTCAAGGCAACTGGACTTGCTGTAGTTTTCTTGAAGACGTTTCACTGGTCATCCAACCAGCTTTCTCAATTCAGAATGACTTGTACAAAAAATTATCTGGGAATAAATATGGTGAATGTTGCTCCAATCCACATAATCTGTTAGTCGCAACCAAGTGTTGATAGCATTTATACCAATCCTTCTCCCTGTCTAGGATGTGTACTTGACTGTCTTCAAAGGAGTGACCTTTTACCTTCAGCTGTAGGTATACTGCCGAATCCTGACCAGAGGGTTTAGCTCTTCTATGCTATGCCACACGCTAGTAGAAGAGCAAAACCCTCTGGTCAGGATTCGGCAGTGTACCTACATCTAAAGGAAAAAGGTCACTCCTTTGAAGACAGTCAAGTACAAATCCTATTCAACACCTCTCTCTGGGCAGGTTAATAACACCTCCTAGACTCCAATTATGCAAATGCAATCAACACCTGGTTGCGACAAACAGATTATGTGAATTGGAGCAACATTCACCATATTTAGTCCCAGATAATTTTTTGTGCAAATCATTCTGAATTGAGAAAGCTGGTTGGATGACCAGTGAAACGTCTTCAAGAAAAATACAGAAAGTCCAGTTGCCCTGACTTATTTTTTACAGACATACCATGACCTGGATGAATGAGAACCTTCACAGACAAAAGCTACATTCATTTTTGTTTATAGTTAGGGTACTTAAATGCATGGTTAAGATTTAACTCCTGAGTTTAGTGTCACTTTAGGGTAAGAAAGGTTTTTTTTTAAACTAAATGTGGGATTTAGGCAACACAGGGTGACTTTCTGCTTCTCTTTTATCACTTTTAGAACTGGGGTCGTGGGTTCCAATCCCAACCAGGTTACTATCTGCATAGAGTTTTCTCACTGTGCTTGTGTGGGTCCTCCATTTTCTCTTAGACTCCAAACATATGCTGGTAGGTTAATTTGCTCCTGTCTAAAATTGTCCCTAGTATGATAATCTACCAAGATGGCTGCCTCACCGCCTATCTTCCCTAACACCAATTTGATAAGCACTTTGAGTCCCCAGAGAGAAAAGTGCCATAGACGTATACATTACTTGATAAAAATAATGCTGACATATTTATTCATATGAAGCTGATTGGTTGGTTTGGGCAACAAGACAGTTTTTTATTTTTTTTTATTTTTGTTTTTTATACATAAGCCTGTTAGTGTCTAAGAACAGAGAGAATGTTATCAGAGAGAAGCAAACATGTCTAATCATCATCATTTTTTCCCTTCACTTTAGGTTTTCAAGATGTCCATGTCATGATCTTTGTTGGCTTTGGCTTCCTGATGACCTTTCTGAAATTATATGGCTTTGGCAGTGTTGCGTTCAACTTTTTGCTTGCTGCTTTTGGAGTACAATGGGCTATTCTAATGCAGGGTTGGTTTCATACCTTTGAAGGTGGCAAGATTCACGTCAGTGTAACAAGGTAAACAGAAATAACATGTTATTTAATTTGTTTTGACGAAGATCATCATTTAACAAGGAGGTTAATAACCATTGAGCTATGCACTTAGCAGCTGTGGAAGGCCAGGGGACTCCTGTGGTTGGTAGGCTATGCAAATGAGTACCCAGGCTCTATGTGCCCGTCTACATGAACGCCTATCGTATACACTAATTCCCAATACACAATAGAAATTGTAGTCTGAAAGAGCAAAAAAAAAGGATTGGTGAGGTTTGTTTGAACTATTCCAGAGTTCAGCTTTTAATAAATCAAACTGGAACAAACTGCATAATAAGGAATACAACTTATAACATTATTTGGTCTTCTTTTTGAACTGTATTGCCAGAAATGTATCTTTAAATTTTTCTTGGATAATTTCACTATTGTAATAGCTTCCAATCACTTCCAACCACCGAAAGTAGTGTGACTTCTGTGCTTTATTACTCTTTCAATGTTTTGCTTCATGCATCCCTCCTAAATACTGTACACAACAATAAAACTGAGCTGTTGGAATTGCACAATGTGTGATACAAAAACATTATGACCTGCCTGTAGAAGTTTGTCTAGTTTAATCAATAACTTTAACAAGGATTTCTAGTGGAACCTTGCTTGTTTTACAGAAATATAAGTATTTCTGACAATAATGCATGACATTTTGACTTTGATGCTTAGCAAACATGGTCTTCATTCAGTTAATGATTTTCAGCAGGCAATGTTCAAAATGTTGTTTGTATAAACACAGTCTTTGGGTAAATTATTTTTATCATCATCAACTGTGGTCCAAATACCTTTTAAATTCTAACAAGAATGTTTGTATGAAGAATGTACTTCAGCCACAAATTTTGTGTAGATGATCTGAAAAAAAGAATGCTAGCTAAGTTAACTGGTGATGAGTCTTGAGTACTGCCACCCATAGAAATCTACTCATTAAATTTAATTTAAAACATTATTATAACCCAACCTTACATTTTACAAGCTGTTTGTGCAATTTACTGAATTTGTTTGAATGCTATAACAATGACAATATTACCAAAATTGACTTGAGCAACAGGTGTGGTCTTCAAACCATTGAATATGGATTAAGCTATGCAAAACAAGTGCATTATACCTACTAGGTGGAGATGATAACCATAGGAATTGCCTGTGCTCCTAGGCTTCATCTAGGTGCCATAATGCTGGTTAATAAAGGCTGCTGTATGTAGTACTACATGTATAGTAGCATTGTATATTACAATATACAGTAATGTTATTCCTCTGATACTGAGCAGTTATAGGGAGTACAATACAGGATTCTGCTAACAAGTAATTTAAAGAGAAAAGTAATTGCATTGCAATACATTGATTTTTTTTACATTGATTTTTGGAGTAGAAAACGGTTAAAGCCCATATCGGTTATTTTTTTGCTCTCTGTGTCCTGGTGGTGGAATTTCCCTTCACAACAGGTGAGAGGAAATCTCCCAAAAAGTGAGATAACAGGTGTCACCAGAACACGTGTTCCCCCTGGAAGATTTCCCCTTACTTCTTGCTCTCACAACTTTAGTTTCTGTATCCCTACTTACTTTATGTCTCAGTGACAATGGTAACCATACAAATAAAGAGGGTTAGTCTTCCCAGGTGGGGACACAGGCCACAGTAAAACGTTTCCTCTGTTTTTAACAAGTTGAGTGTCTGCCGCATAGCTAATTTACTAAAATTTGCTCTATAACAAATCAAACTGTTTTTCAGTCCAGCCTCAAAATCCAAAGACATATGGAACAAGCAATTTTGGGTAATGTTAGACCTGGGGTAGGCAATTAATTTTTTTCAAGGGGCCACATGAGAAACTGTGTTGGCTGTGGAGGGCCACCCACTGAGTGAATTTTGGTCAGCTGATAAAGAACTATCCAAAATTTATTTGTATAGCAAACAGGGGAACATTGGGAGTTAAACCAAAACACTACTGATATATAATATACCAGGGTTTCAACATAATATCTCCAGGGTTTCAACAAAACTTATCAAAAATCGGATTGTCCCCTAATTAAAGAAATCCCTTTCTCGGAGCTGGTTCAGTAAACAGGTATAACATGTAATTTAATCAAAAAAATGAATATTTAATCATAAAGAAACGAATATGAACAAAAACAATACATCCACAGCAAGACATTTAAAATCAATTAAAAAACATCCCTTGAACAGACAGTAGTTAAAGTAACACGAAGGATCTGCAAGCCAGCTGATGTAGCAAAGCCCTGATTAAAACAGATACATGCACTGTATTTCGTATACGGATACAAAGTATCCAAAGTTACTCACAGCTCATACGGCTTGGGGAGAGACAGTCCTGCTCGAATCCCACAGTGCTGGATGGTTGGATAATTTTTCACTTCAGTTAGTGTGTCCGGTGGCTGTGGTTAAAGGTCCAGAGAGAGGGGTATGTTGGTAGGGCTGAAACGATGTAAGCGCCCTTCCCTCTCCCCTTACTTGGGACTCTCACTCACCCGCGGACTTCGATTTCAAATTGCAAAATATATGTGCGGCCGCACAGTAAACAACAAAAGCGATAGAAGCAGGGGTCTCCACAGTGAAAAATTCCAGGTACACTCAAAGATCCGCAAGTTGTGTAGTTACCGCAAACAGTCGTCAGATCTGTTCAGTCAATCTCTGCTGGAGGGTTCCAATTCAGCTAGACTCACACCATTTCGAACCGGCTGTGCTCCGTCTCCACACTTTTAAACCCAGCCGGGATATGCATCTACCGGGACTGGCGTGCGGGATGAGTTATTGCGAGTGTCTAGGGAAGTGGTTGACACACGTAGCCCTTGACGCGTTTCCTCCCCACACGGGGGCTTCCTCAGAGGGGCGTGTGTCCAAAATTTACTCAGCGTAGAATGATCCTGACTACTCATGCTGACTTCCATTATGCAATCATGCGTTTTTTTAAATTTTCCTTTCTCATGATTGTATATTCTTTGCAAAGTAAATTTTCACCACATTCACTAAGCTAAGGGAATAGTTTTCACTAATTGAAAATTCCCTTGCAAACTGGACATGCTATTTGCCTTTACATAGTTACATAGTATTTGAGGTTGAATAAAGACATAAGTCCATCAAGTCCAACCTATTGCTGATGTGTGCGTATGTATATACACACACCCACACACACATATACATACATATATATATATATATATATATATTCACATATACATACATATATATATATATATATATATATATATACATACATACATACATACATACATACATACATACTAGCAAATCAACTTCATTGTAAAGTTGACTTTAATGGACTGTGACTATAATCATGTCTGATTATAACAAGGAACAACTGTGTGTCACACAAGTGCCCCCACAAAATATGCTCAAATAATATGCCCCATTGTTTACTATATCTTTATTGTGAAAAGTGCCATGATCCCGGTCAAATCCTGGTTCATAGTTAGTGCAGCATAAAAAATAATACCTCGTCCACCAGCCCTGCTCAGGTTAAGCAATAAAATGTGTTTGTCTTAACACAGTCTTAACATAATAGCATTGCATACTCAGTATCGAAAATATTGTTAAAGCCTCAGAATGCATAAAACATTCATAAGATTTTTCTCGTTCCACTTTTTTTATTTTGTTTCATGTTTTGTGTCGTATGGCACACACCTATTGTATGCATGTATAGGTATATAGAAAATGCTTGTGCGCATGTGCTGCAAATGCATATAGCTGTTGAGCAGACAGCAGATGAACTAGCTAACAAATGTGCAGCGAATAGGCAGAACATGATTGGAGATCCAGTCATCTGTTACTTTATACTGTACATATACCCCTTTGTAAGGTTGGGATTTGGGGTATACTCATGTTTATATTCAGTTTTACAAAGGGTATTAAGAGGCTCTAATTGTGTGTTTGCCCCATTTTCCATCATCTTATGGGAACTTTGAAATATATTTAACTAGATCAAAGTAAATATTTTCTACAGAAGTAATTTGTACTTTAGGGGCCCTTAAATTGACATCTGTATAAAATATAAACATAACCCTTAACGGTAAAAGTGAAATTGGACTGTATTTTTACAACATACTGTATTTGCTGTTAAACTGCTTTAATGCCAATGAATAAATTAGAAAGATTTATGCTAATGTTAAAATTTTTCATACTTAAGATTTCCATGACATTTGGTATAAACCAGGCCTCAAAATTTCCACTCGCAATTGGCGAGTGAAAATTGCGGGGGGGCGAGTGGAATGTCAGCAATGTTGCCTTGCCAGCGGGACTAGTGATGGGACACTACTGCCGCGGAGATCGCTCGCTCGCTTCTGTTTTCTCTTCTCTTTCTCGCCTGCTGCAGCTACAGAGCGGCCGAGCCCGAGAAGGAGAAGAGAAAACAGAAGCGAGCGAGCGAATGCCGTGGCGGTAGTGTTCATCCAGAGCCGGAGCTAGCTCTCTGCGCTCACTCTCTTTCGTCCCGGCCGCTTCAGCTCCACTCTCTCTCTCTCCTTCTGGCCGCTCAGAAGCTGCAGCGGCCGGGAGCAGAGAGAGGGAACGCTGACAGGTGTGATCGTAGCTGCCTCTCTGAGTGCCCGATTCCTGGAGCTGGAGCGGTCGGGAGAAGAGGTGATCGTTCAGCGGTGTGATTCTGGGGCGTTTGCAAAGGTATCAGAGAGGCTTGGGGGACAATTGCCAGCCTGCCCCCGGGCCCAGTCCGCCCCTGGGTCAGACTAATCCAGCACGTTATTAATCTTAGTGCCCCACTCAATATGACCGCAAGCGAGGGGCATACTGAGTGGGGCAACTCAGATTAATAACATCCGAAAGATGTGGACTGGGAGGGGGGACTCTTTAAGACTGCGGAGAAGAGAACAAGAAGCTCCACTGCCATAGTTTGTGCCCGCTTTGATTGGGCTCCTCGGTGGTCACAGCAGTTTCCTCCGCCCACCTCAGCTACCATTGGTGGGAGAGGAAGACTGCAGAACCGCAGTTGGCCGGCTTCTGCTGCGCGGGAGAGAGAGCACCTGGAGCCGGCTGGACGTGCAGGCAACCTCGCTGCTCCCCCACCATCACCAGGAGAAGAAGAGGTCAAGGCAACTGTAAGTTCCTGTACTTTCTTTGTGACCTCTGCACTGCGCATCACATTGCTGACCTGTGCACTTCGCGTCACATTGCTGACCTCTATTGACAAATTGCCATTCAGTACAAGCGCTTTCGGGGTCTCAGAAGTACCCCTTCATCAGGCTCAGAATGGTGTGCTGGTGACAATTTTTACTACTTCTATATTGCTCACAGTGCCATCCGTGGTCGCTACAAGCACCCACCTGCTTTGCAGGTTTACTACTTTTCCGGTAAGGCTGGTTTCCTATTATATAACATTGCTGACCTCTGCACGTCACATTGCTGGCCTCTGTACTGCGCATTGTTACTGATCTTTATACTCTGCGTCACACCGCTGACCTGGCAGAGTTAAGTCCGGGGCAGGGTAAGGGTTAGGTGGGGCAACTGGTGGCGAGTAACTTTTCAGGCCTGGCTAGTAGCTTAGGACTTGAAATTTTGAGCCCTGGTATAAACGCTCACACTGGACAAAGATGCAGCTGGTTGTTTTATGGGCAGTACAGTTTATAAGTCGGACATTTCTTTAAGGTCATGTGGGTTCTATACCCCTTGTTGAAGCAGGATGTCATCTGGGTTATATTACTATCTTATCTCGTAATGATATCTAATTGATATCATAAGCTAACAGGGCAGTAAAACTCGTGCTCATTTTCCTGGGCTTTGGGGAAAATCAAGGGTCTAAACAGACCCCTAACATTTCATGAATGTGATGGATGAACAGGAAGTGATGTAAAGCACTGTCCTGTTCATTCAAAACTGGGGACACATAGTACTATGTGTGCCCCATTTTTTACAAACATTGGAGTGATCAGCTTTGCATGCAGAAGATCGATAAATATCACAGATATTTACCGATCCTGTTGTTCTCCATCCTGAGCTGCTTGGCCATGCACAGAGCTGCACAGGAGAAATTGAG